ATCCCTTTCACTATGTCAAGCCAAACTGCGCGTAAGTGCGAAGCCGCGGCTTTCATAGAGCACACTTGTGGTGAGGGAGTAGTGGGAGCCCCCTAAGATTTTGGCGAGGGGCCTTTGGGCCTTTTTTGTTGTGGTGTTTAAAGCGCCACCAAGAAGCGAACCACAACTTTGGAGGGCCCCCTGAAAAAAGAGACACCCGTTTGCGGCAGAGCCTTCGCTGCGCCAAAAAAGTGATTTGAACCAGGCGCGACCCGTCACTCCCGCGACAGGGAGCCGTCATTCCCCCTCAGGCAAGCGAAGACCAGGGAAGGAACCTCGTCCCTCCCACTGAAGCGGAAATGCATTTCCCACACGGATGACATTGCTGCAAGGGTTCAAATATTGCTCAGGCAATCCACCGAAAGGTTGCGACCCGAATGGATTCCTCACTTGCCCAAAGCGAATCCACCCTTTGGCTTTCCCTGATTGGTCCACATTTAGTCCAGATTCCAAAAGGTAAACCTTTTCCCTAGGGTTCAACCATCCCTAGGTAAACAATGGTGGTTAGATTAACCCTTGTTTTAATGGTGGTTTGAACCACAGGGTTTATTTCCAGGCTGGGCAAGTGAGAGACGCAACACGCCTTCCCGCTTTTCGTTGGCTGGAGGCTGGTTGAGGTGCCCGACCTGCGATGCGGGGAACTGAGAGAAGATGAGAGGTGTCTGTGTATGTTGGACAGAAGCAGCAACCACAAAGGGCGGTTCCTATGTTTGTTTGAGTTGTTGTTCAATGCGGGGGGGTTATCCTTATGTCGGCTCCTCATGCTGTGTAAATATCCATAGTACTGTGTACGTATAATGATACTGATGACCATAGTAACTATTAACAATCATAGTAACAACGCCATGGTACATAATCATAATCATGATAATCATAGTAATGATGACATACTGTAATAATGTAATAATATGTCAATGTGTATATGTATACATAGTATGATGTATATATATATATAGGTGTATATATATATATGTGTGTATATATATATGCATGCATGCATGCATGCATACATACATACATACATACATACATACATACATACATACATACATACATACATACATACATACATACGGCAATTATGAGGGCTGCCAGCATGTGTCACGTTCAGGCGATGTGTTTGTCCACCATCCTTGAAGATGTACAGTTTTTTGGTTTCGAAAGAACTCCTCAGGTGGAGACCCGCCAAAGTGAGCTCGACAGTTTGTAAGTCAACCACTTCCTTTGAACGCAGCATAAAATCTCGGGGATGGGTGAGGTCCACTCCTGGTAGCAAGGTGTTTGTTGGGAATGGTCTCAACCCAACCCATCATTTGCGGTTCTCTATCTCTTGCGCTTTTTTGGGTTTGTGTCGCTGGCTGGGGCATCTCGGGTGAACACATTTGGCCAGGGGTTCCCACGTCGTGGGTGAGACGGAGGGGTAGCTGGCCCGTCTCCGAAGCGAGGCTCCCTGCTCGAGATCCTATGGGTGCAACTACATGCGCGGACCTCAGACCCGGCAACGGCCAGCCTCGGGTCCGCTTGGTTTCGCCGCACCGGGCACAACTTAGAGGTTCGAAGGCTTGAGCGGTTGAAGGGACCACAACCCATAAAAAAACCTCGCGGGATTGGTTTTCAGAGGGGTGGGGAGAGGTAGACCATTTGCCGCGGCAACAATCTTTCGATGCGTCATGTATTTGGGATACTTTGTGTGGCGAGTTCAGGGGTTTCCCTATGAAGCCCGGACAGACAACAGTTACGGACTCACGTGTCAAAGCTACAAACATCCAAGAGCCCCATGTTGTATCGTGTTCAAACAATAAAAGAGGTAAAGTCGCTATGAATAAAGGTGACTGACTTTATGCTGCTTTGCGGGAGTGATTCTGTGCAAGGATTCCACAAAGCTAAGAAAACAAGTACGGAACGCAGCCCGTAAAGTGAGCAGTTGAAGTTTGAAGGGCTCTCAAGATCACGTTTGGTACCAGGTGGGAACTCCCTTGAAACCCGCCAGGCAAATCTGAGGATGTTCTTTCTTTTAGGGGAGCCCCTTGAATTAGGCGCATCGGTATTTCTTATCGTTTCCCTTTGCAACTTCACGAAAAAAAGACGACGACCCGCCAGAAAGGAAAAAACAAGTCGACAACCTCCCCCCCCAAAAAACAAAGCACCAAAAAAAAGAGGACGAACCACAGAAAGACAATGGGAAGCTCCGGTTCCCGGTCTCTCGCCGGGTGTTTTTTTCAGGACCTGCGGCTCTGTGCAGTGCCGCCGGGGCCTTGGGCAACGAGCGGTGCGCAGGGGTGAGGCGGACCGGGGAGGGAGGGGGGTGGGGAGGGGTGGGGTGGGTTCCGGGGGTGGGGGATGGAGTGGGAGGGGGGGGCAGGGGTGGGGAGTGGTGGCGGACCGAGGGAGGGGGTCGGGGGTGGATGGGTTAGGGGGGGGGCCTTTTGATTTCCTTCAATCATCCATTCGATGGATTCCTTTTCACGCGGTTTTGCAACCCTAGCATCCACAATGGTGTCCAGTTTGGGGCTTTCGAAGAAGACACATCTCACATATGTCAGCAGGCCCGCCAATTCGGGTTGCAGGGTGGTCATGACCCCTTAAGAAGTGTTCAAGTCATAGCTCTGGGAATCGGGCTGGACACGTAGTGACTCGTTAAGACGGGAGCCCTTTTTTTTGCGTTTGGATAGTTGAAACGGTTTGTGCAGACCTAAGGCAAGGAACTAAATCATAGCGCCATGTTCGTTGCAGGGAATGTCAGAATGACCCCCTTTTTCAGGCACATGTGTAGCTGAATAAGGGAAATTATGAATTGTTAGTGTGACTGGTCCCTACCTTGAAGAAGCAAGAAACCCGGCGACTTCTGAGAAAGACCTCATGCGAGGTTTTGGCAATGTCCTGTAGAAAGTAGTGTCGCTGGTTTCTATGATTTGTGGTTTCCTTTCTTTTTCTTTTTTACTAGCAACACGTCAGCCGTCCAGGTCTTGCCAGCGGATCGAAGACCTAGATCACCTGTTGAGTGCTAGGGATGGTCATGGACCCTTCAAATCTCATAAACAGCTGTTGTAAGGATTCGCCTTGATTGAGCATGGCCATGACGCAAACACAATTCGCTTTGGCCCTAGCACCCCATGCTTCACGGATGCCGCTAAATGATTCATAAGGGGAGCTGGGGGGAGGGAACACAAAGCCCTTAATAAGGTCTTAAGGGTTCACTTGGACCCCCCCCCTATGACAGTGACATAACTGTCCATGACCTTTGCCCGAATGGTTCTGCGCCAATGGCATACCCCTAAAAACTGTGTTGGTTGCCCTTTTCTCGAAATCCTACACCACCTAAGAAACTCTGAAATGATTAGATTCCCCTGTAAATTCCAACAAACGTTATGGCTTCAACCATGGTTTCAAAGTGGTGCGAAATGGATTGCGTCCATCCACAATGACATGCATCAACTTCGGATTGATCTGGCTTACCACTGCACTGTGGTTCCCCTTGGGTAATTAGGCAAATATGTTCTATTTAATTGATCGGAGAGTCTTCTGATTCGTACTCGGATGTCACTTGCGCTCTCAGGAAATGCCGGCGGCACCAACTTCTGCTATATTTGTGGGGACCCATCCTCAGTTGGAAGGGCCGGTAAAAATCCACAGGAATCTATGGCTGATCGCTACGCGTTAAACCAGCGCTCAACTCACGGCCCAAAGCGAATCGACCTTGGGAAACCCGTTTGGTTTCTCTGCGTTGGTCTGTATTTAGTCAAGACTCCTGAAGGTGATCTCCTTTGGGCAAGTGAGTTAATTGAGTAATTTCAAAGTCACTTGTGGGTCTGAGCAAACAAATTATCTTCCTCCAAAGCCAACATAAACAGGGCAGTCAGCTCATGATGGGTTTAAGAAAGGCTCCCACGGCCCACCTTGAGAGGTTTGCCAGGACCAGATTGCCACTTCAACATGTGGCTGTGGGTCAAAACCCTGTACCCCTGGTGAACATCAAAATAGGTGCCAAATGGATGTTCAGAGCCATAGGTTATGCCCCGTGACCATGGCACACCTTTGGTGGTAGTTTTAACTTTGAATCCCACTTGCTTTTGACGCCAAATGGAGAAGGTACTCCTCAACGTCCAAGCTGCCAATCAAGGTGATTTGGCCCAGATTGAATAGCTTCAGCCGGTGCCGAACGTGTCATTGTTGCAGGGGTGCACACCCAGCCGGTTGGTTCTGGTGGCCCCGCACCACCCCGCATCTTGAAGGAATCGGCTTGCGGCTCGAACCTGATGCCTTTTCCGTTGACGAAGTTTGGTATCAGGCCTTTCACCTGCAGGCATGACCTAGATGGTAGCCCAGAACAATGATTGGTCCGCAGCGTCATTTCGTTTCATGGGCCAATTTTCTGACCTCACAGTCTTTGAAGCAACCTTGGCAGTGAGAGTTGACTGTGAAACCAGGGAATCCCTTGTCCTGAAGCAACCTTTAAAGGGTACCCTCAACAATGCAAGCCCGTGCAACTGTGAAGTACTAGAAGTTATCCAGATCGCGTTTGTTGGTTCGAGTGTTCTTAGTTTTGGTTCTCCGCATGCCAAGGATTCGTATTGACGGCCAGCTTGAAAATCAGAGTCACTGGTTTCAGTCTCCGAAATTAGAGCCATGCTTCCCGTATCAAAAGAACAGGCCTTTCTCCACGATACGAGTGCTTTGTGTTCTTTGGGGTTTCTTCACTGGTAGTTGTTTTCATTGAACAGACCTCATGTGAAGGGTGTGGGACAAGTAGTGGGGAACCGAAATTGGAAATCTGGTTCATTCATGTTGATTCATGGTTTCCAGCTTTTCGTCGTGCCGCGCCTCACTCGCGGTTTGTGTTGTGCCGGTTTGGGTCGGCTTTCTTTCTTGTTCAGGGCCAAAATGCCCGGCATATTCTCCGGAGGTTCCAGCCTGCCGCGCGGAAGGCCGAGTTGGGAAGTCGGTTTCTTTTGTTCCGAGCCATGGGAAAGGGCCAGTGGGAGGTCTTGAGCCTCGCGAAGCACGAGCTGGCAGATTCAGATGTGGCACAGCGTCTGAAGAAGGCAGGCACCCACTACTGGGAGGTGGATGTTTCACAGAACCATTTGACTGCTAGGGGCCTCGACCAAGTGGTGAAGTTTGGCATCCGCTGCCCGGAGTTGCGCGTGCTGAAAGCGTTCAAGAATCAGATCGGAGACGATGGCGCCCGTCAGATCGCCAGGCTGATTACAAGCTGTGCATGCCTTGAGGAGATCCACCTGTCGCACAACCAGCTGACAGCCAAGGGTGTGCGAATCATTGTTGCCGCGGCCTCCTGGCGCGACCAGCAGCTGAGTCCCTTGTGGCTTCGCTTGGAACAGAATTTGGTGACGGAGCCGGTTGCCCTCTTGCACGAGCTGGCCCGGGCCTTCAGCGTGTGCGGGCGCGATGAGTGGCGCTGCAACAGCCGGCACTGCGCGTGGAAGAGGCGGATCCATGTGCCGTTCCTGCACATGCAGCGAGAGACATGGACTGGATGGCAGAGCAAGAAGGTTGAGAAGTCGTTCCGAAGGTATGAGGACTATGAAGACTGGAACTGGCCCGAGCCGGTCAAGCCAAAGATTTTGAAATTCGAGGACTGGAATGCAGATCCTGAAGCATGGAGCGTGGCAACAGACACGAAGGCTCACAAGAAGGAGCAGAAGAAGGAACAGAAGGAGGACTCGATCGAATGGGATACTGCAAAGACGGACTTGAAGACTGTCCCAAAGGATATGTCAGGTGGGCCACGCAAAGAGACGGAGCCCCAGAAATCCAAAGACGTCAAGAAGGAATCCAAGAAAGAGCGAGTCAAAGCAGCCGTGCAAGCTGCTGTAGCTGCCGCGCCTCCAGTTTTCCGGCGGGACAGCGAGCCTGGCGAGGTTTTCGGGTGGAACGCATCGGATCCAGTGGAACCAGCCTGGGATGGAGCGATGCTGCAGTACATGCTGGTTCAGAGCTGGAAGTTGGGCGAGTTGCTGCAAGGCAAGGAGCAGACTGTTCCAGAAGATGCCGCGCAAGCAGAGGCGTGCATGAAGGCCTTGGACCAAATTGTGGAGGATTTGGAACCAGAGCGGCAGTGGAAAACCCACGCTTTCGGCAGCATGACCACCGGCTTCGGCTTGCGGGGCTGCGATCTGGATATCATGCTGCTGAGAGTGCCCAACTCCCCGCGCGAGGAAACCGACGGCAAAGAGATTCTGATGAAGCTGCGGGACATCCTCTTGGAGAAGCCAGAGTTCAAGGTGAAGGAAGTGATCTTGTCGGCCAGGGTGCCCATCTTGAAGTTGGAGTACCAGACCCGGGACGTCGACATCTCGGTGAACAATTTCAAGGCTTTGGCCAATTCCTTTCTTTTGGCCGCCTACGCACAGCTGGACCCCATGATTCCGGAGTTCGGCACTGCTGTGAAGCTTTGGGCCAAGGCAAATCAGATCTGCGGAGCGCCAGTTGGCAATTTGTCGTCCTACGCCTTCATCTTGATGGCGATTTATTTTTTGCAGGTCGCCAGCGGCGACGAGGTGCCATGTTTGCAGGAAGGCCTGGAGAATGAGGATCTTGAGACTGCTCTGAAGGAGCGCCTGGGTCAAGATGATGTGAAAAGCTGGCGCCCCAGCGGAGCCCAAAAGTCCAGAGGCCTGTGGAACCACCTGGCGGCCTTCTTCGCCTTCTACTCCAACAGCTACGGCCCCGCCAATCGCTACGAGCCTTTCCGCTGGGGCGAGGAGGTGGTGTCGGTCCGCCTGGGTCGGAGGTCCCGCGCGCTGACTGTGGACTCGGAGGAGTTTGGCGCGCTGAGCCGGCGGCAGAAGGGAGCGCTGCATATCGAGGATCCGGCGGCTCACTTGAAGCTGACCCGTTTTTGACCGTAGGGGTCCTTTTTAGGTTATGCTGGCGAGAAGTAGATGGCACTGGTTTTGGTTGGTTTTATTCCATCGACCGCATTCTACTTACCCAAGAGTTCTTTTCAGGTGACTGGATCATATTGGGCAAGTCACCTTGCCCAAAAGGGTAACTGGCTCTCTTTGTGGCTCAATAGTTTGGTGCCAGGACCCCGGGGTGCCAACCATGAAAGCAAGGGTTGGGTGATTTTTTCACCACCATTTTTGACCCAGGGTTGTCATCATCCAAATTGGGTCAACCATGCGCTTGATGGGGGCAAATAATTTTTAGGGTAACCACCATGATTTCAGGGCTGTCATCCCAAATTGGGTCCGAAGGACATTCCTTTGATGGGGGCAAGGAATCCTGGGCGAATGGCGGTGCCAAAGGCTTTCCCAGAATTAGCTCCCCTTTTTGATTGTTTTGTTTTTTGGGGTCCCCTTTGTTTTCCACTAACTAGGCAAAGAATATAGTTTTTTGCTGGGGTCTTAATTCCAGTCAAGAAGGTTAATATTTCAACCCGAGGTGGACAGAAGCCGCAATCTGCGGGATGTCTTTCGGCCCGGGCGAGAGGAGATGCTGCGACAGGAGCTGAAGCAAAGCCACGCTGTCTTTGTCTTCCAAGCACAGACTGGGATGATTCCGGTGCCGGAGGTGATTCCTGAGATTCCGGGCCAATTGATCCAGCAGAGCCGCGGAAGGCGCTTTAGGATTTAGGGTTCGGCCCAACCTCAAGCTAGTAGCAGACAGTATCTTCTAGCGTCTCTGAATGCTGTCCAGGTGAGTTTGCATATTGTATATAGCTGCCCATCCGATGCAGATGCAGTGATCCCGGTGCGGGTGGCAGTAGGTCACGTTCGTGTCTTCTGCATTTCTTTTGCCTTCGCTCTCTTCAGGACGGAGTATGACCATGGGTCAAAATCCCGTACCCCCAGTGAACATCCCAATCCCCACCAAAATAGGTTCTATAATGGGTGGCGAATTCACCTACCCCAAAATAAGATCCCATTGGTTTTGACCAACAGCCAGATTTGTGAGATTGCCCTGCCTTAATCAGGGCTGGCCAGGTTCGAGAAGGTCATCACTCCTGTCGGACCAGATATGAGTGCATCAGTTTGCCCCCTTCAAAGGGATTCCAAATGAGGGGTCAGTTCTTGCAGGGTGTCCTCCATGTCACTTTAAAGGGAACCTCCAAAAGTGGAATCCGATCGAATCAATGGACACCATAAGCTGATCAGTTTTAACCCAGCGTCCTGGCCAAGTCTGGATATGTTTATTTGACATCTCGCATTGAACTGGTCAGACTGTGGCTTGTCTTGTTGCGAAACAGTGAGACCGTCTGAAGGCTACGGATCATGACGAATAGAATGGTTTGGATGGAGTTGTCTGAGCAAATGAAGCCGCAGACGCAAACATAATTTGGCTTGCGACTGAAATGGCCCCCTGACCCCTGACCCCGCTAATTTCTTGCTGGTCAGTTATACTTTATCCAGATTGATGTGATGTCATATCATCTTTAAAGATACCCTGCAAGATTTCGGAGATCTTCAAGTCAACTCATGTCTGGATTGAAGGGCTGTCTATTGAGCTGACTCGCCACGCCCGCCGTCCATAGCACACCTTTCTGCATCCACAAACCCAGTCTTAGGCTCGATGGCCTTTGCAACACACATATCCCACCTACTCAACTCTGTTGTCCAGTGGGTTGCTTCCTCTTTAACCAAAAATAAGGATGCCCTTTTTTTCCCATGGAAGTTCACTGGGCATCTGAGTCAAAGACGCGCCGGTGAAGTGCCCTTTGTTATCTTCAATTTGCTGATGAATGTTTTTTTTCCATTTCCCTTTTTGGTTTTAAAGGGAATCTATCACTACTGGACATACTTTGATTCTTTCCAGGGGGCTTAAGCAAATGGAGGTTATGCGTGCCCACCAAACAAAGCCTCGTCGTGTCTTCCTGAATGAGAGTTGCCAGACTGGCCCTGCCAGATCTGGCCCTTCCGAACCTAACGGACTTGTGGCCTGAGAGACGACGCTGAAGTCGTATCGCAAAGTTGTACCATATGCCGAACGCCAGCGAAGCCTTGTGGGCAAAAAGTAGAGCTCCGTGTTCTCGCAAGTCCCGTTGGTAGGAAGATGGCGGGTTTGTTGTGGTTTGTTGCCACAACTAGACATGAGTGGCATGGATGCACATTGCTTGATGGTAAGACGCAGGGGTGAGACAGTCACCCGCCATAGTAGAAAATATGCTGATGGACCTGAGAGATGCTTTCAGGCCTTTGTTATTTATTGGGGGGTGTTGAACAATGGAAACGCGAATCCCGACACATCGCAAATGTTGGAAATGTTTCGGCTTTTATTAAACTCGGCCGAATGTTTATTGGAATGGTGAAGCGACGAGCCCTGTTACTCCTTTCAGGTGTAGTTGTAGGAACTGGGCGACACCCTCTTCCCGGCATGACGGAGATGGCCAGGCAGAGCAAGAATAGGTTTCCCGGGGCCAAGTTTCGGACAGAGTGTTTGGAGCGGCCTTGGCTGAGAGAGATTTAGACCGTGCAAGCTCCTTGGCTTGTGTTCCCAGACAGTGCGGAATCCTTGGGTGTGAAACTAGGGAGACCCTTGTCCTTGTAACCCAACCTTCGATGTGTGTGGCTCAAAATTAAAGAGCTGGGGTACGCAGGGTCCATTTGGAGTACCATTGTTTGATCTGAGTCCTCCCCGAGTTATGTGGGCCAAGTTTGCTCCTGCAAGTTTGGGGGTCCGGTGTTTGATCCTACGGATGACTCCCCCATGCTTGTTTTAACCATCCTTCTGTTCGAGCAGGCGTTTCCCTGGGTGTTTGGATGGTTTTCTGAAGAAAGATTCGGATCCCCGGAAAGATCCCGTCGACTTGTGGCATTTGTGAGAGTGTATCCTACCGGCTTTGCCTTTTTGCCAAGCCCTGAAGCTCTCCAGCGATCCAACTCTGTCTTGTATTTGAGTCTTGGGCTTGGTTTAAAGAGCGACCACCCCTGTTTTGGGGGGCTCCTTATCAACCTTCAGGGACTCTAAACCGGGAGGTTATACACAAAATGCACTCCGGTCAACCCATTCTCAATATCAGTCCGGGTTGGGTACATGTACACAGCTAAAGCAAGCGCGATTCGGAACCCCAGATTCGCCCGAGCTTTTGCACCCCAACTTTGAAGCCATGCAAAACTTGGAAACCACACGATCATTCCAATGGGCTTGCGAACGGGTTGGTTTGCCAGTGCCGTTTTTCGCTGTGTCCCGAACAAACGTTTGTATGCGGAAGGCCATCAATCGTTTCAATGAGGCCATCAATCGATTCCGAACCGAACGGGTTGTGAAGCTGTTTTGCAATGCAGATTGAACAAGCCGGCAAGGTTTCAGTGCGTGTGTGTGTGTGACCATTTTGACTTCTCGTTTGTTCACCTGAAAGTTTGACTCCCAAGCCCGCTGCATCGAACCACCGTTTCGAGAAATTCCTTTGCTGGAAGTCAAGTTGAACCCCTTGGAGGGAGTCTGTGTTCCATAGAGACCAGGTGAATTATGCGCCCAGTTCGTCCATTTCAAAGGAAACCTTTCAGAAAACACACGGTGCATCCGCAAATACGTTGTTTAGGACATGCACTCTGCACGATGTCCAGTTGATTAGGCGGGAGTAATGTGACGGTGCCCCCTTCATGTCCTTTTTAAAGGAAAACCACAAGGACACCCTTTTGGGAAACAGCGAGGAGAAAAAGTTAAACTTTTTCCAGAGGGGTCAACAGCAACCAAGTTAGATGGTCCGGGACGAATCGCTAAATGGTTATCCTGGTTACAGGGGACTCACCTGGTAAGTGGGTTATAACCGGGGCTACCAACCATTGTAAGCCCACTCTCGGATCATCCAAGTATCCCTTCTGCAGATCACGTAGCCTTCGGTGTTGGCCAGCTGAGCTGAGGTGAAGCTGTTGCACAGTACCGAGTGCGCCTTTTCGAACGTCGACGTGGCTTTTGGGCGTTTGGCCTGTGAAGCAGTTGGCTTTTGTGACGGGTTTCTGCGGACATCAAGCTGTGAATCCTGCTGGCTCGCGAGTTGCAATGCTTTTCCACAACCATATCTAGGTCCCCCAGTAGTGCCCTTTCTCTCCTTTTTTTTGGTTGGGAGGGTTCCCCTACTAAAATCGACTACAGAAAAAAAGGGGTACCCTTACTCTAACCTCTCTACTGGAGGACCTAGATATTCCTGGATATGTTCCTTTGCTCACTTGTGTGTGTGTGTGTGGCAGCTCACATCAAGTTTAGAGGTCATCTTTGTTTGCCTTATGCGGATCGTGGAGGGTAAAATAGCGGCATTGCTGAAGCCTGTTGGAACATGTTGATTTGGATTCGCGACCGCATCCTATGAGCGCAGTTCATTTCAGAACTAAGCTTAATCAAGTTGCCTCGTTTCATGTGCTTTGTCGTGCCCTCAAGTGTCCGTTGGGTTGTTGAAAGAGACTGAAAGAAGCGAACACGGCTTCAAGCGAATGGCATTTGTGCTTGCCTTGATAGAGCTGGAAGCCAGAAATTGAATTGGGTGGTCGACTCGCCGAAACACCCAGCTTGAAGGAGCTCCACCATTGGACATAATGAACGTACTTGGGATCTTCCTTATTTGAGGTATGTGCAAATCATTTTTTTTGCTCAGGGATTGATCCAAGTCCACCTTAAAATGGAACTAGGGGAGACGAATGGTTAGACCCCCCCCCCCTCCCCAGAATGGTGGTGCCCTGATGCCCTCCACCCCCCAAACCTCCCCCTTGCTTCCATGTGTTTAAGTTGTTTTTGTTTATTGTCCCCTGTTAGTAAAGGGAATCTTTCACTGGACATATATTTGTTTCCAGGGGACATCAGGGGACAGAAGCAACTGGAAGCCTGAGAGTGTGATGTTGCAGGCATTTCACTCACTACCCGCACGGCCTCTTCAGCAGCTACTGCCAGAACAAGCCTAAGGCAGCCGCAAGCCGGAAGCTGGACGCCGATCGAATTCGTTATGGGCCCCATGTAGAGTCCTTGTTCCGAGACTTAAAATTGAAGCACTGACTTCCATTTGAAAAGAATATGTGTTCCCTCTGTTGGTTCTAATGGGAATCTATCACAACTGGATAGTTGTTTTGTTCCAGGGGACTTAAGCAATCTCCATGTAAGCGGTAGATCTTTCAACCTATCAGAACCTGTCTCTGGCATCAACAGGGCCGCTCCAAACGCGACACGTCCAAACGGAACATCTGCCACTGCCTCCCTTTTCCATTCAGACCCCAAGGTCCCCGGCAGATTCACACGGAACCCAACGAACTATCATTTGTGTGTGTGTGTGTCTGTGTGTGTGTGTTTTGGAGGGCACCCGTTTTTGGTGTGTACAAAATAAAATAGAAATCGGGGAACCCTTCAGGAGCCCCTTGCCATCTTAGGGTTCTCAAAGAAAGACGAGCCGCCCATTTCAGGTCCCCCGACCTACCCGAGCCGACCGGAAATGTCGATGGACGTCCCAGGCGCCGGGGGAGAAGAAGTTCGACTTTTGGTTGGAGCTGTGGAGGCGTGCCCGAAACGAATTCTAGGTCCCCCAGTAGTGCCCCTTTTACCCTTTTTTGGTTGGGAGGGTTCCCCTACTAAAATTGACTACAGAAAAAAGGGCACCTTTATTCTATCCTCTCTACTGGAGAACCTAGAATTGCAAAGCGGCTAAGGGTTGA